ATAAAATGGAGAATATCTTATTGCCCTTATATAAATCCATGATATGCCCACATCTTGAATACTGCATACAGATGTGGTCACGTCATCTCAAAAAAGATATACTGATATTAGAAAAGGTTCAGAAAAGTGCAACTAAAATGATTAGGGGTATGAAACAGGTCCCATATGAGGAGAGATTAAAGAGGCTAGGACTTTTCATCTTGGAAAAGAGGAGACTAAGGGGGGATATGATAGAGATATATAAAATCATGAATGGTGTGGAGAAAGTGAATAAGGAAAAGCTATTTACTTGTTCCCATAATATAAGAACTAGGGGCCACCAAATGAAATTAATGGGCAGCAGGTTTAAAACAAATAAAAGGAAGTTCTTCTTCACACAGCACACAATCAACCTGTGGAACTCCTTGCCTGAGGAGGTTGTGAAGGCTAGGACTATAACAGGGTTTAAAAGAGAACTGGATAAATTCATGGAGGTTAAGACCACTAATGGCTATTAGCCAGGATGGATAAGGAATGATGTCCCTAGCCTCTGTGTGTCAGAGGGTGGAGATGGATGGCAGGAGAGAGTTCACGTGATCATTACCTGTTAGGTTCACTCCCTTTCGGGCACCTGGCATTGGCCATTGTGGGTAGACAGGATACTGGGCTGGACGGACCTTTGGTCTGAGCCAATATGGTCATTCTTATGTTATGTTGTTCTCTGGTGGCCCACCAGCTCCAACAGAATGTAAGTTTTGTTCATACAAAAACATTTCTAGTCCTTATGGCTTTCCAATACAACATAATTTGCCACATTAGCAGATTCTCAGCTAAATCCCTCCTCTGCAGAACTAGTGTGACACAGCATGTGGTTCAGTGCCCTTCATGCACTACCTCCAGGTGCGCTATTATTCATGTTACCTTAGTGTAAATCAAATCTATGTGGTGAATAGCTCCAGCGAGTGCTCATGGCAGAAGCAACATGAACATAATGGTCCCTTCTGACCTTAAAATCTATGACTTTGTCATTATTTATGCCTAATCCTCTTCCAAGAATTCATGAGGGAATTTCAAATGTTTTTCTTACAGTCTTAACTTCTAATTATTGCTGAATCATCCATCTTTTGGCCCCTTTCATTCCTCTGCGGTCAGAAAATCTTTTACCTTTCACTCCTCAGTGTGGTTTCTCTTCCAAACTATGGAGTTCTGTTGGACAGAAGCCTGTCATGGAGGAAGATGGGGCCAAGTACCACTTCAAACAGATGGGGTCTTCAAGGAATTCAGGAGGGTTTCTCGTCACAGAATTCATAGCTCCCACCCTGACCTCCCTGTCACTGGATCTCAAGAAGCAACAGGCAACAGTGTAGCATATCTCATCTTAAGGGTCAGTTCCAGAAGATGAGAGAATCTCTGGTTTCTATTGACAATTCTCCATGGTGGACAAAATCATAGGAAGGATGGTATTGGGCTCAGAGGCACAGGACTCAGGAGATCTAGGTACAGTTTCTGGCATTGCCACAGACATCCTGTGTGACCTTGGATTGCGTCACTTGATTTCTCTGTGCCTCAGTTCCCCATCTGTGAAATAGTGATGATACTTACCTAACCTCATAGACTATAAGGCCAAAAGGGACCATCATGATCACCTAGTCTGATCTCCTACACATTGCAGGCCACGGAACCTTACCCACCCACTCCTGTAATAGACCCCTAACCTCTGGCTGAGTTACTAAAGTCCTCAAATCATGATTTAAAGACTTCAAGTTACAGAGAATCACCCATTTACACTAATTTAAACCTGCTGCAGAGGAAGGCAAAAGGGTATTCTGAGGATAAGGCCATTAATACATAGGAAACACTCAGATAATGCACTGATATATCATATAAAAGGCTATGCCCAGTACAGGACTTGTCCCAGCTGAACCTGGCAGTGTGCAAGGCCCATTTCTGCATGGAGGCTCTGATCTGACACAAGAGGTCTCACAGGACCAATTATGGTTCATTGATGTCAAGGCTGAACTGATAATTAAATATCTCACCACAAAGTTTGTAATTACATTTTTAATCCCACTTTTAAACCTTTCCCAGATGTATTTTTAGCCACTGTGGGTTTCTTTGCTTGCTTTTTAAAGTCACTTCAAAATTAACGAGTGTGTAAATAGGGAAGACAGTTTAAAAATAATTACAGTACAGGATAATAATGTTTGTGCAGTCCCACTATCTCAGTAGAGTGTTTAGTGTCATAGCTTTTTTGCCTTTGAATTATATAGACAAGGAGCAAAACTCACTGCTGTCCTAAACTTGCACAATTCCATTAACGTCAGTGCTTCTGCCAGTAATAAATTTGGCACAAGGACTACAAATCATAACTGACCAGGTTAATTCAAAGCCCAGTCAGAATCCTTACCAAACAACTGATCTAGACATGAAAATTAAAATGGGGATTATGAGCAGTAAATCACAACACTGCTCTCTGCTGAATGGTGGGATCATTTACATCTGATTCTTGCCAGCAATTGAGAGATTTCATTTTAATATATTTATTTATTAAGTGCCACAACAAGCTAGAACAATGCTTTACACTTGATTGGCCATATCAGAATGTAAATAATTAGCTACAGTAATAAATAGTACCTGAAGGAAGTCTGATATATTAGGTATTTTTATTGGTTTCTTGGCATATTTCTTTTTTATGGAATGAAATTAGACTAGAGATTTAATTTTACAATTTATCTGAAAAAATCTCTCTCCCCGCCTCTTCCTTTGCAGCTAATTATATTTTTTTCTGCTGTTTATAACTTATTTCATTATCTGCTATGGAATAATTTTAGTGGCTACCTGCCAGTTACTAATATCCACTGCCCACTGCCTGATGGTGTCAAAATCACAGCATCTGTTCATTTTAGTCTTCAAAAAGCTTCCAAAATATCTAGGAGATTCAAACTGAAGCTGGTGGGGCTGGCCAATATATAGCACGTATATTTTATCTCAAACATTTTTAGACGCTTAAACTTTTTTTGTTTATGTTTTTTAAATTATGTGTATCGTTTGATCATGTCTTTCTCAACTGCCTACCATGTTACACATAAATTTACCTCAAGTCATAAAGAAACTTGGTATTATCTTGATGAATATAATAATGGTGCTGTACTTGTACTGTAGTGTTTTTTAGTGAAGATTCTGCTAGTTGGATCATCAGTTTCTCCAGACAGCAGACAAACTTCAGCGGGATACGTACTGGGTACTTACAAGGAACGTGTTGAGGCCATCTTACAAAGACAGCAGTTAAGGTGAAAACGCACAATAACCTGCTCAGAAAACTGGCCAGAACAACATGGAGCGCCAATGTCCAAATGTTACGCACTTCAGCCGTGGCATTTTGTTATTCAGCAATGGAGTATTGTCCTCCACTTTGGGCTCACTTGTCTCACACAAAGATGACTGGTGTACAACTAAATTCCACCATGCGTATTATTTCAGGCACACTTAAATCTTCTCCTCTACCATGGTTACCGGTTCTCTGCAATATTGCTCTGCCAGTGTTCACAGAGAGGAAAGCATAGCAAAGCTCATGACAAAATTGTGTGATATGCCACCTGCATTGTTAATTAAAGACTTGTTTAATCCACCACATGGTCGTCTGCCCTCACATCACCTGTTGTGGATAAGTTTACTGGGTAAGGGACTTATGGTAGAGGACTCGTGATGAGATTCATGGTCCACAGAAAAAGTGACAAATAATTATCTTGCCTCAGACCCCACTCAGCAACAACCCGGGTTTGATTTACTACAAAGGCAGAGGAGGCTCTGAACCAGTTTTGTACCTGACATGGAATTTGTGCTGCAACGGAATTTTGGTGGCATTTTAGAGACAGTCCATTATGTCCATGTGGGCAGCCACAAATGATGACACGGATTGTCGAGGACTGCAAAATGACTCAGCTTCCTGGAGGTCTTCATGCCTTGAGTATCGGTGATAAGAAAACTGTGGCTTGACTTGACTGGATTGCATACACCAAATATAAATATAAGTGAAGATTCTCATAGCATTTCACAGTCAGTGGGCCAAATTAATCACTAATGGAACACCACTGAAGTTTCTCCCAATTGCACCCTTAGAGGAGATGCATTATCCCCATTTTAAAGATGAATAAAAGGAGAGGTTAAATGATTTGCTTGTGTCACTTATGAATCAGTGATAGAACTGGGGCTAGACCACCGGATTTTTTGTGGAAAAATCTTATATAATTTAATGGAAAATGATAATCTCTCTCTGGCTCCTTTTGAATCATTCTGTGGAATTTAATAGAAAATGATAGCCCTGCAACAGAATTCTGTAGCCTTCAGAAAGGGTGTTATTCGCTATTAAATTCTAGAGCTTTTCTAGAATAATTTCTAAAGACCCTTATTACATGCCTGTTGCCTATGGCAGTGGTTGGCTCCCCCTCACTACGTTTTGCATAACGGCTGACTCCCTGTTCTAACCACTGTATTCTTCTTCTACATTATGAATACTATACTGAAAGGAACGAATGGCTTTCCCATAATGGGTTGTCGGTGTGTAAGCACCCAGAGTCTCATGAAAGAGTCTGGGAATGCCTACACTAGAAGCGTTACAGTAGCAGAGTTGCAGTACTGCAGATATGCCGTGGCAACGTAGACATTTGCTATAATTCCATGATTGTGACTCTACCACCTCAAGAGGTGGTCTCTAGGCCCTGGTCTACACTAGGACTTTAGGTGGAATTTAGCAGCGTTAAATCGATGTAAACCTGCACCCGTCCACACAATGAAGCCCTTTATTTCGACTTAAAGGGCTCTTAAAATCGATTTCCTTACTCCACCCCTGACAAGTGGATTAGCGCTTAAATCGACGTTGCCGGCTCGAATTTGGGGTACTGTGGACACAATTTGATGGTATTGGCCTGTGGGAGCTATCCCAGAGTGCTCCATTATGACCGCTCTGGACAGCACTCTCAACTCAGATGCACTGGCCAGGTAGACAGGAAAAGAACCGCGAACTTTTGAATCTCATTTCCTGTTTGGCCAGCGTGGCAAGCTGCAGGTGACCATGCAGAGCTCATCAGCACAGGTGACCATGATGGAGTCCCAGAATCGCAAAAGAGCTCCAGCATGGACCGAACGGGAGGTACGGGATCTGATCGCTGTTTGGGGAGAGGAATCCGTGCTATCAGAACTCCGTTCCAGTTTTTGAAATGCCAAAACCTTTGTGAAAATCTCCCAGGGCATGAAGGACAGAGGCCATAACAGGGACCCGAAGCAGTGCCGCGTGAAACTGAAGGAGCTGAGGCAAGCCTACCAGAAAACCAGAGAGGCGAACAGCCGCTCTGGGTCAGAGCCCCAAACATGCCACTTCTATGATGAGCTGCATGCCATTTTAGGGGGTTCAGCCACCATTACCCCAGCCGTGGTGTTTGACTCCTTCAATGCAGATGGAGGCAATACGGAAGCAGGTTTTGGGGACGAAGAAGATGATGATGAGGAGGAGGTTGTAGATAGCTCACAGCAAGCAAGCGGAGAAACCGGTTTTCCCGACAGCCAGGAACTGTTTCTCACCCTAGACCTGGAGCCAGTACCCCCGAACCCACCCAAGGCTGCCTCCTGGACCCAGCAGGCGGAGAAGGGACCTCTGGTGAGTGTACCTTTTAAAATACTATACATGGTTTAAAAGCAAGCATGTGAAAGGATTACTTTGCCCTGGCATTTGCGGTTCTCCTAGATGTAGTCCTAAAGCCTTTGCAAAAGGTTTCTGGGGAGGGCAGCCTTATTGCGTCCTTCATGGTAGGACACTTTACCACTCCAGGCCAGTAACACGTACTCGGGAATCATTGTAGAACAAAGCATTGCAGTGTATGTTTGCTGGCATTCAAACAACATCCGTTCTTTATCTCTCTGTGTTATCCTCAGGAGAGTGAGATATAATTCATGGTCACCTGGTTGAAATAGAGTGCTTTTCTTCAGGGGACACTCAGAGGAGCCCATTCCTGCTGGGCTGTTTGCCTGTGGCTAAACAGAAATGTTCCCCGCTGTTAGCCACAGGGAGGGGGGAAGGTTGAGGGGGTAGTCACGCGGTGGGAGGAGGCAAAATGCGACCTTGTAACGAAAGCACATGTGCTATGTATGTAATGTTAACAGCAAGGTTTACCCTGAAAGAGTGTAGCCACTGTTTTATAAAATGTGTCTTTTTAAATACCGCTGTCCCTTTTTTTTTCTCCACCAGCTGCATGTGTTTCAATGATCACAGGATCTTCTCCTTCCCAGAGGCTAGTGAAGCTTAGAAAGAAAAAAAAAACGCACTCACGATGAAATGTTCTCTGAGCTCATGCTGTCCTCCCACACTGACAGAGCACAGACGAATGCGTGGAGGCAAATAATGTCAGAGTGCAGGAAAGCACAAAATGACCGGGAGGAGAGGTGGCGGGCTGAAGAGAGTAAGTGGCGGGCTGAAGAGAGTAAGTGGTGGGCTGAAGACAGGGCTGAAGCTCAAATGTGGCGGCAGCGTGATGAGAGGAGGCAGGATTCAATGCTGAGGCTGCTGCAGGACCAAACCAGTATGCTCCAGTGTATGGTTGAGCTGCAGCAAAGGCAGCTGGAGCACAGACTGCCACTGCAGCCCCTCTGTAACCAACCGCCCTCCTCCCCAAGTTCCATAGCCTCCACACCCAGACGCCCAAGAACGCGGTGGGGGGGCCTCCGGCCAACCAGCCACTCCACCACAGAGGATTGCCCAAAAAAAAAGAAGGCTGTCATTCAATAAATTTTAAAGTTGTAAACTTTTAAAGTGCTGTGCTTAAAGTGCTGTGTGGCATTTTCCTTCCCTCCTCCACCACCCCTCCTGGGCTACCTTGGTAGTCATCCCCCTATTTGTGTGATGAATGAATAAAGAATGCATGAATGTGAAGCAACAATGACTTTATTGCCTCTGCAAGCGGTGATTGAAGGGAGGAGGGGCAGGTGGTTAGCTTACAGGGAAGTAGAGTGAACCAAGGGGCGGGGGGTTTCATCAAGGAGAAACAAACAGAACTTTCACACCGTAGCCTGGCCAGTCATGAAACTGGTTTTCAAAGCTTCTCTGATGCGTACCGCACCCTCCTGTGCTCTTCTAACCGCCCTGGTGTCTGGCTGCGCATAACCAGCAGCCAGGTGATTTGCCTCAACCTCCCACCCCGCCATAAACATCTCCCCCTTACTCTCACAGATATTGTGGAGCACACAGCAAGCAGTAATAACAGTGGGAATATTGGTTTCGCTGAGGTCTAAGCGAGTCAGTAAACTGCGCCAGCGCGCCTTTAAACGTCCAAATGCACATTCTACCACCATTCTGCACTTGCTCAGCCTGTAGTTGAACAGCTCCTGACTACTGTCCAGGCTGCCTGTGTACGGCTTCATGAGCCATGGCATTAAGGGGTAGGCTGGGTCCCCAAGGATACATATAGGCATTTCAACATCCCCAACAGTTATTTTCTGGTCTGGGAATAAAGTCCCTTCTTGCAGCTTTTGAAACAGACCAGAGTTCCTGAAGATGCGAGCATCATGCACCTTTCCCGGCCATCCCACGTTGATGTTGGTGAAACGTCCCTTGTGATCCACCAGAGCTTGCAGCACTATCGAAAAGTACCCCTTGCGGTTTATGTACTCGGCGGCTTGGTGCTCCGGTGCCAAGATAGGAATATGGATTCCGTCTATAGCCCCACCACAGTTAGGGAATCCCATTGCAGCAAAGCCATCCACTATGACCTGCACATTTCCCAGGGTCACTACTCTTGATATCAGCAGATCTTTGATTGCGTGGGCTACTTGCATCACAGCAGCCCCCACAGTAGATTTGCCCACTCCAAATTGATTCCCAACTGACCGGTAGCTGTCTGGCGTTGCAAGCTTCCACAGGGCTATCGCCACTCGCTTCTCAACTGTGAGGGCTGCTCTCATCTTGGTATTCATGCACCTCAGGGGAGGGGAAAGCAAGTCACAAAGTTCCACGAAAGTGCCCTTACGCATGCGAAAGTTTCGCAGCCACTGGGAATCGTCCCAGACCTGCAACACTATGCAGTCCCACCAGTCTGTGCTTGTTTCCCGAGCCCAGAATTGGCGTTCCACAGCATGAACCTGCCCCATTAGCACCATGATGCATGCATTGGCAGGGCCCATGCTTTCAGAGAAATCTGTGTCCATGTCCTGATCACTCACGTGACCGCGCTGACGTCGCCTCCTCGCCCGGTATCGCTTTGCCAGGTTCTGGTGCTGCATATACTGCTGGATAATGCGTGTGGTGTTTAATGTGCTCCTAATTGCCAAAGTGAGCTGAGCGGCCTCCATGCTTGCCTTGGTATGGCGTCCGCACAGAAAAAAGGCGCGGAACGATTGTCTGCCGTTGCTCTGACGGAGGGAGGGGCGACTGACGACACGGCTTACAGGGTTGGCTTCAGGGAGCTAAAATCAACAAAGGGGGTGTCTTTACATCAAGGAGTATTTCAGGCAGGACTTCACGGAGGGTTCCAATAAGAAATGGTTCACCTAAGTTATCGTTCTTATTGGAACAAGGAGGTTAGCCTGGCCTCTGATTGATACATGGCTAGATTTACCTCGCTGCACCTTCTCTGTGAGTGACTGCAGTGTGACCTAGAGGAATGAGTCCCCTAGACAGGGGAGGAGGCAAATGAGTACAAAACAAATCTGGTCTATTTCTTGTTTTGACCCACTCCATCTATCTTTTACATCTTTGGCTGGCAGCAGACAGTGCAGAAGGACTGCATGCCATCCACATCTCATGGCTGCTCGGCAGAAGATGGTACAGTACGACTGCTAGCCATCCTCATCTCTTGCCTGCCTGGCAGAAGATGGTACAATACGACTACTAGCAATCCTCATCTCTTGCCTGCCTGGCAGAAGATGGTACAGTACGACTGCTAGCAGTCCGTATTGCCTGCCCGGCTCACCATAAGACGGTTCAATAGGACTGACTGCAGGACTAAAGAGAATGACCTAGTCAAGTCACTCCAAATTTAGTCCCTGCGCCCATGTCTGCCCAGGCGCTCCCAGCCGACGTGGCCAGGAGCACCTCGGACACGACGAGGACGACTACCAATCGTATTGCACCGTCTGCTGCCAGAAGGCAATGGGTTGCTGCTACTGTGCAGCAAAGCCATACCGCGTCTGCCAGCACCCAGGAGACATAGGGTGACGGTTACCTGAGCGGGCTCCATGCTTGCCGTGGTATGGCGTCTGCACAGGTAACTCAGGAAAAAAGGCGCAAAACGATTGTCTGCCCTTGCTTTCACGGAGGGAGGGAGGGAACGGGGGGCCTGACGATATGTACCCAGAACCACCCGCGACAATGTTTTAGCCCCATCAGGCATTGGGATCTCAACCCAGAATTCCAATGGGCAGCGGAGACTGCGGGAACTGTGGGATAGCTACCCACAGTGCAACGCTCCGGAAGTCGACTCTAGCCTCGGTACTGTGGAAGCGCTCCGCCGAGTTAATGCACTTAATGCACTTAGAGCATTTTCTGTGGGGACACACACACTCGAATATATAAAACCGATTTCTAAAAAAACGACTTCTATAAATTCGACCTTATTCCGTAGTGTAGACATACCCTAGGTTGACTTGCCTGTCATTGTTTGTAGCTGCTCTATTTAACTTCATTAGCTAAAGAGGCACATGAAGCAGCCAGACAAGACTGCAGAAATTGCCTCAGGCATTCTAGCCCTTGCTTCGCCACCCAGACACTGGACTGCAGGATGAGTAGTCACTGAAAACCAGTTTCATCACATATAGGATCCTCTAATCCCAGGACATCAGACATATAGCCAGGTCAATAAATAACTCAGATCTTACCCCATAAGCATGCTAAAAGAAAAGGATGCATCCTTCCACAGTATGCATCCGATGAAGTGAGCTGTAGCTCACGAAAGCTTATGCTCAAATAAATTGCTTAGTCTCTAAGGTGCCACAAGTACTCCTTTTCTTTTTGCGAATACAGACTAACACGGCTGTTACTCTGAAACCTGTCATAAGCATGCTGTTGCCAGTCCTTTACTATCTAATATCTAAAGGTTTATTTAAGAGAGAAAAGAAAGACGAGAGTTAAAATGGTCAGAGAAATCATATACATACAATCATTGCAAAGTTCTTGGGTCAGGTTTGTAGCAGTGATGTTACAGACTGCTGGCTTTTAAAGTCTCTGGTAATTTCCAAAAGATTGGAAGGTCCTTGGTGCATAGTCAATATGCTCCTTTTAGTGTAAGTCCATAGCCCAGAGATCAGAGAAGGAAAGAGGCAAAATGGAGATGCTTCCAGGGTCCTTTATACCTTGTCCCATGTGGAAAGGATGCTCTCAATCTTAGGCTACGTCTACACCACGGACCTTACAGCATCACATCTGTGTCACTGTAAGTTCTCTTGTGTAGCTGCTCTATGCCGGTGGGAGAAGGCTCTCCCACCACTATAATTAAACCACCCCCAATGAGCGGCAGTAGCTATGTAGGCAGAGAAGCTCTCCTGCCAACATAGTGCTGTCCACACCGGTGCTTTTGTCAGTCGGAGTTGTGGGGTTTTTTGAGAGTTAAATGTTCTTTAGTGGGCCATCAACTTGAACGGTTCATTCACAATGTGCTGGCTATACTGGATGTAAATTACCTGGTGAGTATTACTCCAGGGCAGACACATTTGAAATAATGGCACACAGTCAACATTCATAACTTTAGATACAAAGATAATACATGCATACAAACAGTATAACCATACTCAGCAAATCATAACTTTTTCATATGACACACCTTGTACAAGTTTTGTTGCAATTGTCTAACAGGGGCAATATCAGTGATAAAATTGGTCATGTTTCAATCATACATCATCACAGACCCTCACCAAAGAATTGCATACCTTTTCCCAGAGAGAAACAGTGGCACCAGGCAGCTACTTTGTGAGACAGGGCAATGGTGCCTGACCTGACGTTCTGCAAAAGGGAGTTGCTTGTGGGCTGTCAGTTGCCCACTGTGTTTGAGGAAAACAAGACTGGTGTACATTTTTTTAAATAAACAAAGTACAGTAAGAAAATACCTGACTTCATGTCACTGATTTCCACTCCGAGTAGGAAATTGACCTACAAGCCATGGACATCTGTTGCCAAGCAAACAGACAACAACAATTTATCAGTGAGAGGCTGAATTAATAAATTAGAGGTTACAAGAAACAATAAATGACTCCTTTGCTATTTTCCTCCTTTGCTAGTTATTTGGGAAATATTTAAAGTGCTGTGTGAATGAAAACCAAAGAATGAAAACCAAAATCCATTAGAGA